TCGGGTATAAATGTAAGGAACTGAGAATTCTGTAAACTTATGTAATATTTGGATTAACTAGACTGTGGTTGATGTCTGTTGTAATGATTATTTACATGTTCATGTATGTACGATACTGTATGTCCTGTGGGGTGGAGCCATGTGTGTCAGAGGCTCCGGAATTCTGTAATTTATTCATATTTTAATGCAGTTGAGTGGGGCCGGTTGGGAACCTGCTTTATTAATCCCTAATCGAGCTCCACGTCACCCACCCCGTTTTGGGGGGCGTGACAGTGTGTTCTAAAATTCAAATTTAAATAATCACATTTTTTAATTAATTCTTAATTATTTATTCTTGAATGTTTTATTTTAGAGTTTTATGATTCTAAAATTTCCATTTTGCCTTTAGTATTTTGTAGGATTACAAGGATGACGTGGTGACTCATAGACCTATAATTCTGAGTTCCAATAAAATTAATAATTAATTAAACTCTTTAATTAATTAATTAATTAATTCTATTAATTCCAAAAATTACTCTACTATAAACTTGGAATTGCACTCTGGTAATTATAGATATAAATTACTTCTAAACAATAAAGTGTCCATTTGATATAGTCATACATATAGATCAATCCTCCATAAATAATGCATAATTAGAGCCAGGTCAATTCCGTTAACCTCTCTAATTACATCTTTATCCTTGAGTAGCATTGATTCTCTAATAGACAGTGATTCATAAAATAAATTCATGAATCGGAGCTCCTACTAGTCTAAGTACCGAATCAACCCTCAAGAGAATTATTTGTCTACTTCTTTCTTAAGAATGAATGGATTCCATGTCGTATAATAACATTCCTGGCTACTCACTTCATCATGTCTCCAAAATACAAGGAATTGGATTCAACATCTCAGAATTTGTACCAAGTAAATCAAAAAACACAAATCTATAAATAGAAGTCTGCTAATAACTCAGGATTAAGATCATTCTATATATAACCATCGGTAGACTCAATTAGAATTTATATACTTTAACAGAAATTATCAGAAATTCATATTGTGTCTGTATCCCAGTTTTACATAATCTCATTATGTGTAATATGCTCATTCAATATCTCTTAATATTAACAATGTGGATAACGTCATTCCATTCTAAATGAGAATGACATGTATTAATAATGTTTTAATTAAAGATTTTGAACTTTAATTAAATTAATCACGAACATCGTTTTAACTAGTATCCTTAAATATTATCCTCTCGCATATAACACTTATATATAATATTTAAGGTCACGTAAATAATCATGGAATTTTTAGTGATATTCATAAAATATTATTAATATATGCACATAAAATAATGAATAAACTCTTTTATTAAATAATTATCCTATTACATCTCATATTTTTAGAACATTATTCCCAACAGTTAGTACAAAGGCAGAGCCCGAACAACTACGATTCGGGCTTGTTCATTTGCATTTAAGTTCAGATCTTGATTTAAGTTAAGGTGTATTTGAGTATGGTTTAAGTTGGGACTCTAATTTGAGTTTGTGTTTGGATGTGCACATTTTGAGTTATGATTTGAATTGAGAATTTATTTGAGTTTGTGTTTGAGTGGGTCAAAACTTGAATTTGTATTTGGATAGTATTTTAATAAAAATTCAATGGCGATGGAAAATTTTACTAGGCTACATGGATAGGGTTTTATTCGTCTCTTCGTTGTGAACGCATAAAAAAATTATCTCAATCGAAATTAAAACGAAAAAGTTATAGCATTTTTAAGAATAGAAAAAATATTGTTAATTAACTTGAGTTTGAATTTAGGAACTTGAGTTGAAAGGGGAACTTAAACTCAAATTTTAGCCTCAAACTCAAGTTCAAACTCAAGTTCAAATTCAAATTTTACAAAAGAACATTAACTTGAATAAAGTTGTAACTTGAGTTCAAACTTTTTTTGAGTTTGGGAGCAAATGAACAAGGTCACAATAAATCCACAACTCAAGAACCTATAGAAGAACAATAACCAGTATAAGGCTATTTTTTGAAAAGATCTAGGGAGAAGAATATTTCTTCCTTTTATTTTCAAATCTTAGATTTTTTTTTTAAGAAAAATTATATTTTCAAATATTATAAAATTATGTTTTTGATTTCATTTTGTGTTTAGTTAATTAAAATGATATTTTGGATATCTTATGTCTTAAAAAAACCTCAAGGTATCAAAATGATTGTGTTTTAAAATCTGAAGGTAGCATTTTAATATTATTAAAAATACAAGATACCAATTTAGTGTTTTGCTATAAGAGAATGTATCAAAATGATTTTATCCCTTGTTATTATAAAATTATGTTCTTTATTATAAGGACCTACTAATAGATTGAGTTTTTTTCCCCTTTCTTCGCTATATTAGATGTTATTTTTTAAAGTATATTCTTTATTATAAGGACAATATTAATAGATTGAGTGTTTGTCTTCATTATTTTGCATGGTCGCCTTTTTTGTGTGGATCATTACTATAAAGTTACAATCTTTAGTAAAATGACTCTATCTACCTATTGTATACTTTAAATAATGATTTGCGTGGTATTTATATAATAATTATAATAGATCTTATATTATTTATGATAATGCTTATATTCATATCTTCTTGAGCATGTTTAACATTTATTTATTATTTTTGTCATCATCATAAAACTTTTATTATTTAAGATAATGCTTATTCTATAATATACAAATCTTTATCATAATTATATTATTATAACAATGCATATTCTCTTGTTTTACACATATACTGAAATTAATAAATCTTTATCATAATTACAGTATTATTGTAGTAATGATGATTTTTGAATTTTTTTTTTCCAAGATATCTTTTTTAAAGGATTTATTTTCAATCTTTATGATCTTTTGCATCTAAAATTTTGCAAAAATTTTTGAATTCATTTCTTATCTTTTTTAAGGTATTATTTTGATAGTTTTATTTATGTGTTTTGTAAATAAATGCTATATTAAATAAAATAATTTGACTTTCGTATGGAAAATCTGATTATTTTATATTCAGATTTTATTTTGTTACCTTTTCTATATTGATGTTTCAGTACTTTTTCCCTTTTTTGATTACACAAGGACATAAAGGCCTTTGTACGTAAGATAGTAAACAAAGAAAATAGTAGTTATGTTATATTTAAAGTCTAAACTTTATGAAGAAACCAAAATATTCCTGTAAATTACATCCTAGTACTTTAGAGCCGCTTTTTACGACATAAAATGTCTTTTCTACTATTCTAGTTTTTTTCTCCGTTTTGTATAAATTACCCAGAATTAAGAAAAAATGACTGAAAATGTAAGTAAATATTATCCTAGTGTTTAAATGTCAATAAATGATATTTTCGGCATTCTTTCTTTAAGTTTAGAATAATTAAATTTAATTAAAAGGGAGAAAGGGCATAAAAGACATTTTATGTGCAAAAGAAATCTACTTGGGGTACCAAAATGATATTGTAGGGTGTCATGTTAATATTATGAAAAATACATAGTAGTAAAGTGATTTTTTCACAAAACATATATATATATATATATATTGTCATTTTTTGCAATCATAAATTAGCTCCTGAAGAAATAGATATATAATATTATAGAGATATATAATATTAGCAAAATGTTAACGTAGCAAGTTTAAACAATAGACTATTATATTTCTTGAATTATAAATAATGAGATGCATTTGGAGTGTTGGTTGGAATGATCAGACGTTTGATTTTCTCCCACAAGGTCTGGAGTTTGAACCTCAAAGTAGGTTCGAGGAATTTTTAAGTTGTGAAAAAATAATGAAATGCATCGATTCACTGATTACTCAAACAACCATACATATTGATATCAGGCAAAGACAACTAACGCTATAGTCTTTTCCCCCTAGTTAAAATTTTGTCCCACTGGATCAATAAGGAGGATTTTAACTGCATATTATAAGAATGATGTGCTCTTTTTCCTTCATCTGAATTTTTTTTTTTAATAGGCTATTACCTAGTGAGACTTTAATGGGGCATATTCTTGAGTAATGAACATATAAGTGGGAGTAGAATTTCATTTTGATATCCTATTATATCAAAATATGAGTTTTGTCTCTTCTATTTTTAATAATTTTATGCCAGTATCTCAATTTTTTAAAAAATCTTCTTTTAATACCTCGGGACATTTTTTAGACACAAAAAGACAAAATTACTCATATTATTAAATATATATATATAACATTTAAAAAAAATCTTAAACCCGCAATCAAACACCCAAAGCTCACTCTATCCCAAACATAAAGCAAAAATCTTATCTTAAACTGCAACCAAGAATTTTGCTTTATGTTTGGGATAAAGTGAAGTTTGGGTATTTGGTTGCGGGTTTAAGATTTTTTAAAATGTTTATATATATATATTTAATAAGAGTAATTTTGTCTTTTTGTATTCTAAAAAACTGTCCTAAGGTATTAAAAGAGGATTTTCTAAAAGACTGAGGTACCGAAATGAAATTATTACAAACAGAGGGTACTAAACTTATATTTCGATACAATATAGGATACCAAAATAAAATTTTACCTAAAAAATAAAATAACAGAAATTGTAGTCAATAGTATTTTTTTTACAAAACTAAATTAAGTAAATACCAGATTTTAAAATAGTTGAAGTGAATGGCAGTAAAAATATTTTTTTACTAAGTAAATATTCTATTTATAACTAGTAAAAAGATTTTTTACCATGTTAATTTTCTATTTACAACTCATAAAAAGATGTTTTGGAACAAAAATTTTATTTACTGCTATTTACTTAAATTGTTTTTAAATATGCTATTTAGAGCATCTCCAATGCAATGCCATAATTAATGTGTTAATTACAAATTTAGCATTTGAGTGTAAAAAATACTCTCTAATGCAATACTATTTGTTGTGCCAAATTTTTTATATGCTATATTTTGTAGCAAATTTCCCACCAAATATAGCATATGAGAAATTTAACATTTGATTGTTATTGTTTAAAATGTTTACTTTTTCACGTAATAATTGAAACTTTTACATTTTCTAATTATTTTAAAAATAAAAGTTTACTTTTACAATTTTTAAAGCTTATAATTATGAAAAAAAAAGTAGATTTACCATTTCAAATAGCATTATGCATTGGAACAAAAATAAATCTACTATTTACTTCATTCTACCTTAAAATAAAATGATTTATTGATGTGGATGTTCTAATACCTTTAGTCAATTTCAATATCTTCAGTTGAATATCATTAGTGGTTGGTATTCCATAGCCCTCATAACCTCTCAATTGCATGAGTGTCACATGCTTGATTCCATTGAGTTTTCAATTGACTTTTGCCAATGAAGAGCACTATTAGATGCACGAAGACATTTGAGGACTTTAAACATTCTTGGTATTAAATTTTATAACCATTAAAAACAGCCAAAAAGAAAATATTAAAAGTGAATTCCATGATTCTTATTGACACTTTTCCATCACTCCATTTCATTTCATTACTTTTTTTTTTTTTTGGTTTAAACAAATTGGTAAACATTATCTTTTGGGCATAGAACTCCTATACCTGTAAATAAAGCCGGTATCCCCAAACTCGCCCTCAAAGAATAAAAGTGTAAAATAAAAATGGGATTAATATATTGCACAAGAGAAGCATTGATAAATTACAACAAAATGCTTCGGAAGCCAGTGATGATCATCACCGAGCAATGTCAAAATACGTGCATACCATGTACAAAAGAGTAGCAGCATTTAGAACACAGTTGGCATTGCCAAGAACACTACACATTAACGGTAACTTACAACACCAAATCGTTTGGACAAAGCCCACATGAAGTACCAATCCAAACTTGCCCATGTGATATGTCAAGGCAAGGCAAAAAATTGCTTCTCATCATACTATGTGCATTTTCACGCCTTTATATCTTTTAGTACGCCTCCCTTTTCAAGCTCACCAACTAGATCCCTCAGAGATGGAACTTTCATGGCCAAAGTTCTGTACAGTCTCGAGTATCGAGCTCTGGTTCCGTCTGCTGTCCTTGCCAATGCAAGCAAGCTTAGAGCCTCTGGGAGTTGGGAGAACACTTGTTTCATCTCCTCCAAGCTCATGTTTTCCAAAACCGATGGTCTCGGAACGACTCTCACAATCTCACCGCCTTTCGGTTCCTGAACCCGAGCATCGGCCTTTATGACTAGTTCTGAATTTGAGTTTGCTCCACACTTAATGATAAATGGGGTTGTTGAGCCTGTATTGAACTGTAAGACATTCCACTGTGCCACATCAGTTTCAGTACCAGACCCAAAATCGGCTGATGATCTGCGACTACGTGATGGTTCTTGATAAGGATCATCTTCTTCGGGAATTGACTGCGACAGTATATGAATTATAGTAAATACCCGCTCAAACCAAATGTAGCAGCAGTGTTAAACATGCAGTACTTCAGTGTTATAAAGAAAAGGCCATAATCTTAAAGTACAATCATTCTACATGCATCATTTTCAAGTTGATTCTATTTCTCCGACGAGCAGCTAAATGTAGAGTGCAAAAAATGTAGTACATACTTGAATCACACGCCGAGCATCGGCAATATTCCTCTGTGCACATGGATGATCAATGTTAAGGAGGGATGGCATTCGTTCAGCAAGTTCATCTAGAGATGCAAGCATTGCTTTCTTCTTACTTCTACTCAAAGTGTTCACAGAGGATTGTCTTAGAATATCCTGTTGGAAAAGGACACTTTCAATTGTGCTTGTTCATTATCCATAAAGATTACATGAAAATGACACGCTAAATTGCAGAAGTAAAACCTTGATTTGCTTCAATATGCTGTCAAGTGATATTAGAGATGCCAATCGTGCATCTTCAGCTGCAGTTGAAGGATTCTGAATAGGTGGGCCACCATCTTCTAATGTTAGTAATGCCATATCACTCCTCATTTGTTGCAAAATCTGAAAACAAATCAAACCAAAAGTCACATACATGTCTATAGAAATAGAACAAGGGAAATCTAATTCAAAAAAGCCTTAACCCCACATAAACTTTGTTTTCTCTTTTGTTGATAGTCCAAGAAAGATGAATCATTACTTCTTGTAAATTGCATAATGCTAGGGACACCAACTCTAATCCCAACTTTTGTGTCAATTCATAAGTTGGCATTCTTTTATTGTTAGGTGTTTAAAAGATTGTCATATCAACTGATAACAAGAGGATGCACCTACCAAAAAAAAAGGGAACTTGTGAGTTGGTACAAAAGTTGGGTTGAGAGTTGATGCCCTAGAATTACCAAAATTAAAAAAAAAAAATAACATTTAAATGTTAGAATGTCTAGAGAGAGAAGCTCTATCTTCTCTCTAGAATTCTAAGGTTCATCGGTTGTTGTTTAATCTTTGTCAGACAAAAATGGCAAATTCAGTACGTAATCGATTCTATCATGAGTTTAGAATCGGTTCAAAATCCTTTAGATTAGCTTTGGGGAGAGATGGTGGTTTTATTAGATTAAAGGAATCCTCTTTTTTTTTTTTTTTTTTTGGGATAAGAAACTGGAAACTTCATTCAACGAAAAAATTACAAGATAAGGTTCGAGATGGAAAAGGATTCCATCAAGTAAAAAAAAATATTACAATTGAGAAAGACTAAAACTCAAAACCAAAAACAGATACCAAAAACTAAGTCCCCATCCTACTTAGAATATCCTCCCAACTTCGCATTATCAAATAAAGCAGGAAATGTTTAAAAGAGGAATCTGTTGATGACCACAGCAACACAAGAAATTTTGCCTCATAGAAACGAATATGGAGAAGAAAATAATATGTATTTCATATCTCGTTAGGTTTACAATGTATACTTAAATACTAGTTACAGGGAAAAGCTATTCTAAGAAAAACTAATAAATATGGAATGTTAATAGCTGTACAGAATCAATCCTAATTGCTACTTTCCTAATCTTCTTCAATCATGCTCCTTGACCTAATCTTCTATGTCAGCCTAATTATCCCTAATATTTGGTATAATGGATACCGAATATCTCCTTCTTCAACACTCCCCCTCAAGCTGGCTTGTAGATGTCCTCTATAGCTAGCTTGCTTACTAGGAATTCGAATTGTCTCTTCTGTAGTCCTTTAGTAAGTATATCAGCTGTCTGTTGAATGGTTGGTACATATGAAACGCAGATTAGGCCACTCAATTTTTTCTTTGATGAAGTGCTTGTCAACTTCAATGTGTTTTGTTCTATCATGTAGAACTGGATTGTGAGCTATTGAACTGACAGCCTTGTTGTCACAATACACCTTTATGAAAAAAAGAACCGAGATCTTCAAATCCTCAAATAGCCTTTTGATCCATATTACCTCACAAATCATGTGTGCTAGAGATCTGAATTCAGCCCCGGCGCTGCTTCTTGCTACTACACTTTGCTTTTTACTCCTCCAGGTAACTAGGTTTCCTCCAACAAAAGTGCAGTATCCTGAAGTTGATTGTCTATTAGTCGTGCTTCCTGTCCAATCCGCATCTATATAGACTTCAACTTGTAGATTATCACTCTTTTTGAACATTAATCCTCTACCAGGAGTTCCTTTTAAATACCTCAAAATCCTGTAGGCTGCATCAAAATGCTCATCCTGGTGAATGCATGAATTGACTCACCATGCTTATGGCAAAGGCTATGTCAGGACGAGTATATGATAAGTAGATTAATCTACCTACCAATCGCTGAAATTTCTCTCTATCAATCACATCTTCCGGTTTTGCTGGAGTAAGTTTCAAGTTGGCTTCGATTGGAGTTTCACCAGTTTTGCATCTTAGAAGGCCTGTTTCACTGAGTAAATCCAGAATATACTTTCTTTGATTTACAACAATTCTTGCTTTCGATCTTGTAAATTCCATACTAAGAAAGTATTTTAGTGTTCCCAGGTCTTTGATCTCTAAGTCTTCTGCCAGTTTTTTCTTTAGTCTAGTCATTTCTTCAAAGTCATCACCTGTTAAAATTATGTCATCCACATAAACAATTAGAATAGCAATTTTTCCACCTTCTGAGTGTTTGTAGAACATGGTATGGTCTGCTTGGCTTTGGTGATAGCCATGGTTTTTTACAGCCTTTCCAAAACGTTCAAACCACGCCTTTGGAGACTGTTTAAGATCATATAAGGACTTATTGAGTCTGCAGACTTTGTCTTGGCCAAAAAAAATTTCAAATCCAAGAGGTAGACTCATAAACACCTCTTCTTCCAAATTGTCATTAAGAAAGGCATTCTTCACGTCTAACTGGTATAACGGCCAGTTGAAATTCATTGCAAGAGACAACAACACACGGATAGAATTAATATTGGCTACAGGGGCAAACGTTTCTTGGTAATCAATACCATAAGTTTGAGTGAACCTTTTAGCCACAAGTCTCGCCTTGTATCTCTCTACACTTCCATCGGCCTCGCATTTTACAGTAAATACCCATTTACAATTGACTATTTTTTTGCCTCTTGGTAAATCCTCAATCACCCAAGTTCCACTTTTCTTGAAAGCAATTGATCCCTTTAATTCTTTGAACCCTAGCCGTCCTCTTACAACCCTAGAAGTCTTTTGAACCCTAGCCGTCCCAACCATCCTTCCATAATGTCTAAAACTATGTCAGAGTCCACAAACACCTCTGTGAACCAGTCAAAAACTACTGAAACTAATCCGTCCAGGCCACATGTTTCTGCCCATGATTCCCATTCTGTCCAGATCGCTACAATACGATTGAATGGAGAAAATTTCTTGCGCTGGTCTCAGTCTGTGCGCATGTACATCCGCGGGAGAGGGAAGATTGGCTACTTAACAGGAGAAAAGAAGGAACCTGCCCAAGAAGATCCTTCTCATCCAACTTGGGATGCTAAAAACTCCATGGTGATGACGTGGTTGGTGAATTCAATGGAGGAAGAAATTAGCTCCAACTACATGTGTTACCACACTACTAAGGAGCTTTGGGACAATATCAATCAAATGTATTCAGACTTGGAAAATCAGTCCCAAGTGTTTGAATTAACACTGAAATTCGGAGAAATCGGCCAAGGTGAGGGAAGTATCACAAAATATTTTAATTCTTTGATATCATATGATACCATATAAACGAATATGGAGAAGAAAATAATATGTATTTCATATCTCGTTAGGTTTATGTTGAATTCGGAAGTCAAAAGTTAGGGAAGTTAGTTTAGGAAAGTATTTTAGGAATAAAAGGAGAGATCGGTTGTGATCTTTTCTCATAATTTTGTTTCCTGATTTTTAGGAGAGAATCAAGCTAGTTAGTTTTTCCCTTATTAGTCATTTGTGTATATATATATGCTATTGTAGGGTTACAGAAGATTAATAATAGAAGTTCAGAAATTCTTCATGGTATCAGAGCCAGTTTTCTGAACCCTAATCCCTTCCGGCCATATCTCTCTCTGGTCATCTCTCATTCCGGCCATCTCTTATTCCGGCCACCTCTCTCTGGCCATCTCTTATTCCGGCCACCTCTTGCCAAGTTTTCTGGCCACCTCTTCGTTGTTCTCAGGCCAATTATCTCCGGTTTCTCTTATATATTTCCAGCATCCATATTCAGTCTTTCCTCTCATCTTTTCCGCAATATTTGAGACATGACAAAATACGGAATGGCATCATCACAAACATCCAGTGTCACGACCCCAGAATCAGGAGGAAGATCAGAGATTCCAAACCTTGGTGGCAGCGAATCTTCTCCTATTCTCATCACAGGACACAAATTAAATGGCCATAATTACTTACAGTGGTCACAATCTGTGTTGCTGTTCATCTGTGGCAAGGGAAAAGATGAATATCTCACAGGAGAAGCAGCCATGCCAGAGACTACTGATTCGGGTTTCAAGAAGTGGAAGATAGAAAATAGTATGATCATGTCATGGCTTATCAATTCCATGAACAATGACATAGGTGAAAATTTCTTGCTGTTTGGAACTGCAAAAGAAATATGGGATGCAGCCAAAGAAACTTACTCCAGTTCTGAAAATACTTCAGAACTATTTCAGGTAGAATCAGCCCTTCATGACTTCCGCCAAGGAGAGCAGTCCGTCACTCAGTATTACAGCACACTCATACGGTATTGGCAGCAACTTGACTTATTCGAGACTCACTCATGGAAATGTCCGGACGACGCAGCAACGTACAGGCAGGTTGTGGAACAAAAAAGGCTGTTCAAGTTTTTCCTAGGACTTAACAGGGAGTTGGATGATGTTCGGGGTCGAATCATGGGCACTAAACCACTGCCCAGTCTCAGGGAGGCCTTCTCCGAGGTTAGGCGTGAAGAAAGTAGAAAGAAAGTGATGATGGGATCTAAGGAACAACATGCCTCACCGTTAGATGCCTCTGCCCTTGCTGTTCGGTCATCCAACAGTAATGGTGGAGATCATCAGAAACGGGAAAGGCCTTGGTGTGATTACTGTAAGAAACTAGGCCATTACAAGGAGGCTTGCTGGAAGCTTCACGGCAAACCAGCAGATTGGAAACCAAAGCCACGGTTTGATAGAGACAGCAAAGCACATGTGGCCTCCAATTCCGATAGTGCTCCTGTTCCCGAGCCTAGCCCATTCAACAAAGAACAGATGAATGTACTGCAGAAACTGTTTAGTCAAGTCGGCAGTGGCAACATTACTGGGGCTGGTTTGGTTGCTCAAACTGATCCGCATACAGCCTTCACTGCTAACCATGGAGGAATGAGGCCATGGATAGTAGACACAGGCGCTTCTGATCACATGACAGGAGATGCTGCCCTTCTCCAAAATTACAAGCCAAGTAGTGGTCACTCGTCCGTCCATATAGCTGATGGTTCAAATTCAAAAATCGCTGGGACAGGTTCCATCAAACTTACTAAAGAGTTGTATCTCGACTCTGTCCTCCATGTTCCAAACTTGGATTGTAATCTTTTGTCCATTAGTAAATTGGCTTGTGACCTTCAATGTGT